AGTTTTGCTCTTGAGCGTAAATAAACCGAAAGTAATTATTAATAAATTAATTGTAATACATAATTATAGTTTATAATTGGGGTTGTTGCGCAGTCAGTTACTAGTTATCTTTCTACTTTGGAGGTTCCGGATTCCAGTTCCACTAACTTATATTTTCATTAACTGCTAATTCTCTTGAACAAGGAATTCACCTCACTGTGCTTCAATGAAACCAACCGTTAAAATGTTAGCAGATCGTTGACCTCTGAATAACAGAGATAGCGTTGTGTTTTTATGTGATCGTGACAAAGGGTGCCAGACATTCTGTCTGGCTTTCATGCTGTCCGATACGTGCTCATTAATCCTCCTGACATCTGGCTAAAAAATCACTACAAAGTATAAATGCACATTTCAGTAATAGTTAAAAAAATGAAACAGTATATAGTGTACTAGCTTGAGGAGCCTAGCATCTCGGGAAGAGGGTAGCTGAGAAAAAGCAAGTTATTGTTTCTGCGAAGAGGATGCGGAGTATATAGTTTATTCTAGGGGCTGAATTGTTCTATACTTCTAGGGTAAGAAAAAGGATACGTCACGGTTCATATCGACTGAAGTATTCGTATTAACTATATGATTGTTTTTCAATGCGACCAAAACAGAACTTTTGAAACAGCATAAACCTGTAGATTTGTCGTTGCAGTGTAGCGATGTTTCCATCTGTTTTGTGACTAGTATTCAGTGACACCAACAAAAATTTTTCAGTACCTTTTTGCCATGATAAAAACATGCCAGTGTTTACTCAGGGTACTAAATCTCCAAATTCTCAATTTATTTCTTTAACGATTCCTCATTCATCTTTAATCCTATTCTTCAGAGTTGTGCTTTTTAAGATCTGGATATTCCGGCATCAGATAAAGAAAGCGAAAGCTCGGATTTCGGCAATGATGACGATGATTATAGTACTGATTTATCCGAAGATGGTATGTTAATGCGATCTTGTTGTGATATGTTATCTTAAAATTCAGTTAATCTGTAAATTCTACATTAATCCGAAATTTTTGTTTAAATTCGAATTATTCTTAATATAACGATTTTTCTGAAATCAAAGTTGGAGTGGGATTAACCAGACTGCGGTAATGATTTTGAGCTTCCTGAGATGTAGCTGTGTTGAAATCTGATCTTCTTCTGTCCTGTGTTTATAGATGACTAGTAAGTAACTCGTGAAACGTGAATGTTCAGATTTTTGAACCAGCTACTGACCTTCGGGTATATTTTATGGCCGTTTCTCTGCCATTCAGTTCTGGGATCAGATATTTGCATGTGGTCCATGGTTTGATTTTCATCACGTCATTCACTTTTCTGGCTGAACTAACTTTATCTTTTAATGATTGAGCACGTGACCATAGCCGTGTTGTTCCGTCTGATCACGCTTAAGCATAGCTGATTGCCAGTACAACAGCGGCTTCCACGTAAGAAATGTGTTGTACTGTGAGGAGTGTGTAATCCATTGTTCCCGTCACCTAGGTGTCGTTATGATGATTTAAGTAAAACGATTTTCGATTCTCTATTTTCTGTATTTATCATAAAATCAGGCTTCCTTGAACTAATCCTTACCAGTATACGGTCATTTCCCACGTTTTTCTTCAAGGTAACGAGGTTGATTGACTAACAGACCCACATGTACTATTGCCCGTGAATGACAATCGTTAGTAAATTTTTGCTGACGTAGATACGTCAATTTTGACTTTTTAATTTTATTCATTTCCTCATGTAGATAAGGCTTATGTAAGGCTTATGATTTTTTAGTGTACTTTTAAACATTCAATTATTTTCTTACAGAACTGCAGGAAATGGAGCATATAGATCAAAAAATGAAAGAATACATGAAGATTATGGATTCTGAACTTAACATGACCGACGTCGGTCGTAGTTTTGCTAGGAAGAAGGTAAGAGAAATATACCTTTTTTATTTTTTCCGCATCGTTTCTTTTTAGAACGACGGGAGTCCCAGCAAAAACAGCATTGACCAAGAAGACGATGATTTCAAACCAGTGGATATAGATCGAAATCTCGTGTCAAACATGCTGCAGTCGTATTGGTCAGAAAAGGGAATGGGTGGTCCTGCATCTTCGCTGCTGCGCAGTTTGAACGTTAATCCACCTATGATACCGGAGGAACTGGATAGCGACGACGAGGAAGACATCAACGAATGAGGTCGAAGTTCGCTCTCTTTCCGTCGGTTATACTTTGTGCAACAGTCTTCTTACTCAATGGACGTGCTTTAAGTGCATCTTTTATTACCAAGCAATGTGCGTTATGTCGGTTTGTTATGATCTCACTTGTTCATTGCTTTTTTTTCAGTCAGAATATTGTTTCAGTTTTCAATGGCCCCTTGAGCAAAACGGTGAACGTATGTCCAAGCTCATGATTGTCAGGATGTTGTTAATTTGATTCATTATTGCCATGTATTGTGTAAAGGTAACATTCAGCAGTGATAGTCTCAGCTTGTCTTAGGACTGCAAGGTAATAAAATAAAGATTGTTTATTTGTTTTGACTTTGATGTTTTGTGCTGTATAAAATTCTGCGTTCTTCATTACATGGTCTCGTCAGATTGATATCACAAAAGTAGGACCTCTAAGCGGAAAGGCATACACCGTCACAGCTATAATTTACCACTGATTAGTGATTTGACCGTTAGAAGTGCGAGTTCTAGTCACGATTTTTGACTCGAAACCGAGTGAAGCTTAATGTTTGTGGGGTGTTGTTAAGACAAAGGGTAGAGGCAGAGAAAATTAACAATTTAATTAACGTGATTCAGTCTACTCGAAAGTGTTTACCATCGACGTTGGCTCAGTTAAACATTATAGTCATGACAGTTATTAAATAGCTTCCTAAATTCATACGATTACCGTTTCTTAGAAGACTGGAACTTAGGAAGTGAATTCTTGATTTAAAACACGTTTGACGTTTCGACGAAATTGACATTGATCGTCGTCAGAGATATCACAATTAAATATTAATTATGCGACTACTTTTAGACAGTTCACAGAATTAAGTCCTCAATTGCATGAAGATAATCTCGCGGCCTTTCGACGAAGACTTGATTGGAGTGGCTGGTCTTGTGACGCTCATTTAGGGAGGAACGGTTTGTCGAGGAATTGGTGGTCTGTACGCTGATCTGTTTTATTTGCGAAGTTGATGTCTGACTATATGATTGTGTAGGATGTTTGACTCATCGGACTTCGTGCTGCCAAGGCGTCCAAGAAGATCAGACCTTCTTTCCGCGTGTTTTTGTTGGCGTGTTTTCGCATGTACCATCGGAGATCATCTGTAGCCGACCACTGAGGTGTGGTGAGTACAGTCTGTTGAATCTTACCGATCTCTGCAAGCAAGAGAATACCCCTTGCACAACATTTTTAGCGCATGTACCTCGTTAGAGCTGTGTGAGAGAGATCGTGTGGTAGAAAAAGAGTAATGTAAAATTTAAATTTGATGAATGAAGTAAGAAAGCACGGTCGTTAATGGACATTGCTATGTTGCCCTTATGCCTGATGGAATCGACCTTAAATAGTCGCTCGCTTGGCTTTTAGAAGGAGGATTGTTCTCAGAAGCATGTGCAATGGTAACACAGGGTGAAGTCGTGTGTACGAAGAACTATAGGAAGTATATACAAAAGGAAGATATCTAGAATGTTTAGCAGTACAACAACTAGACGCAATACAGTATCGCATGCTGTTACATTTTGGCTAGCACCGAGTACCGAGTACAAACGGCACAGTAGCGTCGTCTAGATCATACACAAGTATTTGGCACTTCAAAGAGGCCTAATCTCAGATAACGACGCCATATTATCGATACCATTCAGGGAGCATGCTTGACGCTGACCAATGAATTTTATGTACCCTGTAGTCATTGACTGCACCGTTGATCAAAAATGTCCAGAAATTTTAATCTTGGACCA